GCAGAAGATGCAGGTTTGATCTTCCCTGGGTTGGGAAGATCCCATGGAGGAGGAAATGCCAAGCCATTCCAGTATTGCCTGTGAAATTCCATGGACAGAGGAGCCTGGAGGGTTATAGTCCATGGGATCAAAAAGATTCGGACACAACTAAGCACACATGCACACAGAGTATGTAGTAAAACCATAATCTTTATGAATTTTTCCTTTCTTCCTCATCCCATTTTAAGTTCATGAGAGGCAAACCTGTTGGATAGGTAGTGGTTTAATATTTTTTTTTATAAAGCTATCTTCTAGCACATATCCTTGGGTGACTGCTGAGTCAGTCTAGTTTCTGCCTTCTTAATCATCATTTATATTCCTGAGCAGAGTTGGTATTTCTGCTGATCCTGGACCTGTTTGCCCTCAGATCCATTCCTCACCCTTCCCTTTGCTGCTGTGTATTGTGAGGAGCACACCCTTATGGGCTTCATTCCTTCTCAGACTCTGGTGTTAGCACAGTTTCTGGCTGGATTAGTGAGGGGAACTGTCAGGAGATTGGAGGGTGGGAGGAAGGAGAAGACAGGGCTTTCCTTTCTCTCTCTGCTTTGGGAAGTTGGAGGAGTAGGGTGGTTTCTGAAGTGTCTCTTGTTGCTTCTGCCAGTCAGGCCATATGCTTTCAGCTTCTTCCAGGTAACCTCAGCCTTAGATACTGGTAGCAATACATTCCCTCCATTTTTCCCCTCAGTTCAGAGGTGATAGTGACTTATTCCCTTGCTAACCTCTGATTTGCATCACTATTCCTGTTGATTCTCATTTCTTCCCTCACCTTCTGTTTTAAATCCTAAAGTAGTTTCTGTTTCCTCATTAGACCCTGTCTGATACAGAGCTCAAATTGATATAACAAAAATGCCTTCCATTTTTCAAGATTTGTTATTTCTTTTGATGTCCCCAGTAATATACTGAGGTAGAAAAGTATTATAGTTCCTATTTTAATATGAGGAAATTAACATTTATTGAATAACCACTTTCAGATTTTTCATAATTTTCTACAGTGAAAATTAAAGGGGGAGAAATGGAGGCCCAGAGACTTAAATTATTTACTCTAAGTCCCACCACAGTCTCTTACTGATTGAAGATTGGACTTCTACATGTAAAAATCCTATGTGCTATGTGTCTTCTCCTTAACGAGATCTGTTTCCAAAGAAGTGTTCATTTATAATGTCCTTAGAAAAACCTTAGTCATTTTAGAAAATTTTTTAATTAAAGATTCAAAGCACAATAATTTTCTGCTCAGCATCCCCGATGCTGGCAGAAGGAGCAGGGGGCAACAGAGGATGAGCTGGTTGGATGGCATCATCAACTCAATGTACATGAGTTTGAGCAAACTCCCAAAAGATAGTGAAGGACAGGGAATCCTGGTATGCTGCTGTACATGAGATTGCAGAGTCGGATGCGAATTAGTAACTAAACAACAACATTTGTATATCCAGGATGCTGTTCACTACCATTAATCAATTTAAAAGTTTTGAATTTTGGTTATTTTTATGAGAATAAAAATACAATAGGGCAAATTACAGGGAAGAATTCTTGTGATGTCATGTTTGTTTGGTTATGTAATTGTTTAAGATGTGTCTGGTGCATTCTTAAGCAGAAGAAAGAAAGAGACGTCACAAAAGAGTGGAATGGGGACAGGAGAAGAGAAGGGCAAGGGAATGTTGTTGCCAGGTCACCAGCCTTCCACCCCCACTGCCTTGGTGAGGGTGGGGAGCCGTGTGGGAGCTGGGGATGTGAATCAGGTCTTTTTACAGTCACCTGAAAGGCTTTACCTTGTCTTGATAAAAAATGGGAGGGGGCAGTGTGCTGAGGGAGATCTTTTGTACAAACAGCTGAAAGACTTACTGTGTCATTATCTCATCAGCTCATTACCTGACCTCCATGGTAATATAGACTCCTAAATTTAGTGTAGCATGGGAGATGACTACCTTGCTCTGCTATAAAATACAGGAGGAGGCTCTATTTTGCACTTAAATGTCTTATTGTTTTTAGGATCTATTAAATAGGTAATTCTCATAATACTTGCGAAAGCATGTATGAACCAATATCCCTGTTTGTAGGGGGAATTTGACTGAGCAATGATCTGGAGTGCAAGAAATTCAGCTTATACATTTACAGGTAAAATTCTAACTAAATTCAGGATTCATGAGGATTTCTGTGGTATCTAGATTTTCCTCATCTTCAAAACTGACTAATAATAATGATGATAAAAATAACATCAACAGCTAGCACTTCTTTAGGGCTTACTGTGTACCAGACAGTACTCGAATCTCTTCATACGTATTGTCATTCAGTCCTCACAACTCTGTGGGGATATTTTATCCCCTGATCCTTCTGTTTTAAGTGTGAGAGAAATATCACTAATAATGGGTATCTTATTATCATCTCTCCCTTCTGCTAGCACTCTCTTACCAGCCCCCAACTCTGCCCTGATTACAAGCTCCCCAGAAGCTTATAATCAGTTTTGTTCACTTTTGTATCCTCATTGCCTAGAACAGTGCCTGGCATGTGGTTGGTACTCAGTGAGTATTTGTTGAATGAATGAGTTTTTATAGATGAGGAAACTAAGTTTTAAGATTACACAGTAATAGGACAATATGTAGTATGGTAATGATTTATAAAGTCTTTGGTGAACCTAGGGTTCTTTTAGACAAACTGTATCATCAAGAGTGTGAAATGACTGTTAGGCACTTGAATTTGGTGGTGCTTTCCCTTCTAATTCCTACTCCATTTCATGAACCTCTGGGCCCTTGAGATACCTTACAAATTGAACTTTTTTTTCCCCTCCCATTCTTCATCCATGGAACACAAAAAATAGTTCGTCTTTTATTATAAGATTTTAATAATATTGTGCACGTGTGCTAAGTCGTTTCAGTCATGTCCAGCTCTTTGTGAACCTTTGGACTGTAGCCTACCAGAGTCCTCTGTCCATGGCATTCTCCAGGCAAGAGTACTGGAGTGTGTTGCCATGCCCTTCTCCAGGGGATCTTCCCAACCCAAGGATTGAACCTGCATCTCTTATGTCTCCTGCATTGCCAGGCAGGTTCTTTATCACTAGCGCCACCCAGGAAGTCCAAGATTTTAATAATAAGGAAGACTCAAATTTGCATTTTATAAATTTTCTTTAGGCTATAGAAGCAGCGATAGTGATATTATAAACTCAAAGGATTCAGTGTCTCCTGTCCTTTAAAGGGGTAGGTAACAGTGAGGTAGGTCATACAGTTGAGACTTGCTTTAAGATTGCACGCACACCCACTCACATCTGCCTTTAAGCTTGATGATTTGTGTGGTCTTTTGTAGGAAATTTAATTTTGGAAATGGTTAGTTAGGCAGAACAGGAATGGCTAATATCTGAAGATTGATGGGGGCTCAGGGGAAGAGAAGAAAGGAAAAAAAAGTCTTTGAAGAGTCTCACATAAGCTCTACTGACTAGAAGAAGGGTGGTCCCAGTCAGAGAATGTGGGTAATCGGAAGATGAAAAGTTAGGTTGCTTAACATTTAATCTTTTTTTCTTTCTTCTTATTTATAAAATCATATCCATATTTCTGTCATTATTTCACTTTATAAACTCCATTGTTATTCCCTATTGGAAAAGAAAAAAGCATTCTTAATTGTGGCTCAGCTGGTAAAGAATCCTCCTGCAATGTGGGAGACCTGGATTCAATCTCTGGGTTGGGAAGATCCCTTGGAGAAGGAAAAGGCTACCCACTCCAGTATTCTGGCCTGGAGAATACCATGGACTTTATGGTCCATGGGGTCACGAAGAGTCAGACACGACTGAGTAACTTTCACTTTAAACATTAATTCTGGGTCACAGTAAGCTTTCTTTTCCTTCCCATCATACTAATATTATGCACATGTAAGTCTTGGGTTTTTTGTTGTTATTTCGCCTAAGGTTCTGGAACAGAATGATTACAAATCATTTCCCTTCTTCCCCTGGTGCACCCTTTCTTTTACATTTTTAAAAATAAGGGAACACCAGAACTTCCCTGGTGGTCCAGTGATTCAGTCTCCACTGTAGAGGGTGCAGGTTTCATCCTTAGTCTTGGAACTAAGATCCCATATGTGGCGTGGCGCGGCCAAAAAAAAAAGTGACCATTAAAATAATCAGGGAATACCTCCAACATGTGTTAAAATGCATAAAAAATAACAAATAACCCATGTGCTTACAGGCCAGATTTAATAAATAAAAACATTTAGCCGTATATATTTTAGAGCTTTTAATTTTTTTGATAGCTAAAGCATTAAAGAGTTTAATTCTCCTTTTTATTGATCTCTAATTCATTCTTCCTTCTTCCTTGAGGTCTCCACTGTTCTGAGGTTGGTGTGAATACCTGTCTTTTTACTGTAGAAAAGTTAACTTCTTAATGAATTTTTACCTATGTTTTAATTGAATTCAAAGGAATAGTAACTCATAGTTTCTCTATCGTGAATCATTTTCAGTGTCTGAGGTGTCTGAAATATTTTTCTTCTTGTTGACTTCTCATTACTGGGCAACAGTATAATGTTTCACATTTGAGCTATTGCTAAGACTGTGTTTTGCTATTTTGGGGCCTCTGATCTGTCAGATGTGATATTAACTGTGTTATATATATTTTGTTAGTAACACTCCTGAAATATCTTTTGGAAAGTCATTTTATTCACCTTCCAAAACCAGGAAGTGAGAGAAAGGAAAAGAGGGAAAGAATGATTGTTTTTCCCTTCAGGCAAGTTATCAGTTGAGAAACTGATGTTACGAACCACACCAACTGTACAGGAATATATACTGAATGTGTGTATTAGTAGGACAAGTATCTCAATGTAATAATCCACACATTTTTAATACATTGGTTAAAAATGGTCAGCAGCATGAAGAATTTAACATGATATTACAGTCTCCTTTTGGTTAGTTTAGACATGAGGACAGTGGTCAAGGAGAAAACCTAACAATGACTGTTTGTTTGTTTTTGTCAAAATATGCTACCCAGCTCCAGAGTTTCCTATTTTGGAAAAGCAGAACTGGTTGATACATCTCCATTATATCCGGAAGGATTTTGAAGCATGCAAGGTGAGAGGCTGAAGTGATAGAGAACATGAGAGGCAGGCTTTGATTAAGCATCTGTGTCTGTCACTCAGTTTGTATGGCAGGTAATAACCCATTATTTTAATAATGTGTGAAATCTTGTTACTTCACATTTTGTGTATTAATTAGCTTTTGCTGTGATAATGCTGCTTAACAAACAACCTCAAAATGCCAGTGGCCTTATTTATTACTCATAGGCCTTCGCTTGGCTATAGGTTGGCGGGTGAACCAGCCAGGTTCTGGTGAACCTGAACCACAGTCTGTGGATCAGGTTCCAGTGTGCGCTGTGTGTCTTCTCGTTTCAGGACCAGGCTGAAGGAGCTGCTGCTCTCTGGGACTTGTTGGTCTTATGGTGGAGAGCAGATGTTCAAAGCAGCATAGTGTTTTACTTTTTGATCTCTGGATAGGTGAAAAATGGTGTTTCACTTCTATTTCATAATTCTTGTGGTGAGCTTGATCCTTTGTATATTTTGAAATCGTTTGTATTTCCTTTTCTCTAAACTGTATCTTTGGTGATGGTATACATGTTACATGCTTGCTGGCAGAGAACAGTATCATCATGCAAAATATATCCTTGGTATTGTCTTTTTTTTGGCATTCAGAGCTTTGTAATGCTTTTAAGGTTGTGATTTTTGTACCTGTCACATTTGTACCCACAGCAGTGCAAAGAACTAGCAGTGTTTAGTTCCAGTATGGATTTGGAAAGATTTTTTTTTCTTCTGTGACACTATCCTTATTTCTTCTTTCCTTTATTGACCACTTTTTCTGTTTCCTTTCTTTCGGCTTCTCTTCCTTTGCTTGTTTCTTAAGAATTGGGGCTGTCCCTGTGTACTGTCCTTGACTGTTTTCTCTGCTTATTCTGCACACTTCTTCCTGATTGCCAGATCAGTCTGATGCTTACTGAATGCTTCACAGACATTTCAAATTCAACTTTTCTGTAGCCACATTTACCTGCTTCCTTCCATACCTATTGCTTCTCCTTCTTCCCTGTCTTTTGAGTCTTTACATATACTCCTTGTCCATGTCTTGTTGTTCAGTTGCCCAGTCATGTCTGACTCTTTGTGATCCTGTGGATTGCAACATGCCAGGCTTCTCTGTCCATCTCCCAAAGTTTGCTCAAGTTCATGTCCATTGCATCAGTGATGCCATCCAACCATCCCATCCTCTGACGCCCTCTTCTCCCTCCATCCTCAATCCTTCCCAGCATCAGGGACCTCTCCTGTGAGTTGGCTGTTCGCATCAGGCAACCAAAATACTGGAGTCTCAGCCTCAATCTGTCCTTCCAGTGAATATTCAGGGCTGATTTCCCTTAAGATTGACTGGTTTGCTCTCCTTGCTATCCAAGGGACTCTCAGGAGTCCTCTCCAGCACCACAGCATGAAGGCCTCAACTCTTTGGCACTCTGCCTTCTGTATGGTCTACCTCTCATAACTGTATGTGACCACTGGGAAGACCACAGCCTAGACTACTTGGGCCTTTTGTCAGCAGAGCAGTGTCTCTGCTTTTCAACACACTGTCTAGGTTTGTCATAGCTTTCCTGCCAAGAAGCAAATGTCCTCTGATTTCGTGGTTGCAGTCACCATCCACAGTGATCTTAGAGCCCTGGAAGAGGAAATCTGTCACTCCTTCCACCTTTCCCCCCTGCATCTGCCACGAAGTAAAGGGGCTGGATGCCATGATCTTATAATATTTAGTTTTAAGCTGGCTCTTCCACCCTCCTCCTTCACCCTCATCAAGAGGCCTTCCAGTTCCCCCTCACACTCTGCCATCAGAGTGGTACCGTTTGCACATCTGAGGTTTTTGGTGTTTCTCCCACCTATCTTGATTCCAGCTTGTAATTTATCCAGCCTGGCATTTTTCATGATGTGCTCAGCGTATAGATCAAACAGGGTGACAGCAGACAGGTGTCCATGTCTTCCTTTACTTAAAAACACTTGAAGACACTTAACCACTACTCAGAAGTATTGTTTGTTTCTTTTTCAGGCTGTTATCAAAGAACAGCTTCAGGAGACTCAGGGGTTATGTGAATATGCTATCTATGTCCAAGGTGAGTCATATATTTCTTCTCTTCTTGCTAGAGAAGTGCACACTCTGCCTAGATTCTGGAAATAGAACAACTTATGAAATACTTAAATTCAAGTAAATGTTCCACAAATCTCTTGTTTAGTATTACTGTTTTTTTTTTAAATCAAAACAATTATTGTGCTGGATTTGGCCTCAGCAATGACTAGTTCTGTTAAAAAGCTTGCTACTGTCCTTCACCCCTATTCTAGTTTCTGGCTAGTGTTTTTCAGAATTGTTGTTAGGGTCGCTGCCTCCTGCAGCAGTGTTGGGCCCAAAAGAGGCTTTTCGAGAATTCTTTGTAGTCAAGCTAGAAGAGATGAGAAAAAGCTTGAGTATTTTTTGTATGGTGAGTCAGGATGAAGGGAAGAAGCCTAGAGGTATACAGGACAAAGCAGAGAATAAATGGAAGTCATCAGAAATCAAATATTATAGGGACTGAATGATATAGGGATTAGAGGGATTGGCTGGGATTTTACTCTCTGGTGCCCAAGTAGCATCCTTGTTTGCTACTGGGCACTAGGAACTTTCTTTTTGACTCTTTGACATAAATGAATGGTTTTGTTTCCCACTCTGCATTTGTAGTCTTCAAATTAAAATGCAATTTTCTGACATAATTGGTAATATATTAACATATCTAGGACATTGTGGCAAAATAATGCTCATATATTCCCAATATCACCAGTTCCAGACTTACAGTGCCTCATACTACTTAAGCATGTAAATCTTCTGAAAGCTTAGGTCTGGGAAAAATGATTGATTCTGATTGGTTGCTAGACTGAGAACCAGCTCTGAAATATTACTGCATTCTTTGCCAGCATCTCCTTGTTGGACTTGGGTTTTTGATTGCACATGCCCCATTTGGGTGTACTCTCTGAAAACTATCAGGTGAAGTTGGAATTACCATGATTAATAGAGTATCTGATAGGATCTATAAGAATGTTCTTACAGTGAAGAGTTTCTGGAATAATTTGCAAGGCACCCAATTATCTGCCTGTTGGAAGCTGGGAGTGGAGAAATAGGTAGGTCCCAGATACCTTTAAAAAAAGGTTTTAGCTCATCACCAACTTTGCTGCTTGTTTCAACCCATCTGAAGTCATATCTGATTGTATTTTAAGACACAGTTATCCAAAGGGTTTCTTTGGTAAGATTTCCTACTTCCCTCTTTCTCCAGTTTTTCACATGCCAGGCTCCATTCTTAGAACATGATTTTATTTTCTGTGTTTTCTCTCTCGGCAGCTTTGATATTGCGCCTGGAAGGAAATATCCAAGAATCCCTAGGACTTTTTCAGATGTGTGCAGTTCTCAGCCCTCAGTGTGCTGATAACCTCAAGCAGGTGGCCAGATCTCTGTGAGTATTGGCAGGCTGGAGACCTTGGGGCACTGGTGGAGGATAGTGGAAAGTGCATTCTCAGGCTGGGGCTTGCTTAGAGAGAAGTGTAACGAATTCACTTTGAAGAGTGTGGATTAATTTTGAAGTTTGAGAAAATAAGATAACCGGTATAAAGCAACTGAGTATTTCAAACACTGCATATGCTAGTTTGATAGGAGAGCACTGATAGTATTTCTCAAATAGGAACATTTTGTGCTTCAAGTACCCTAATCATATTGCCAGCCCATGGAATTTTTCTTGTCTTCTGTTCCAATACTTAGCATACTACTATATACACAGTAGTTTTGTAGTGTTTGTTAAGTGAATGCTCTGAAGGCTCCTGGATCCTGGCATTCTCTAGAATCTTTTATAAGCTTTTAAGTACTAACAGCTTTACTACTCCAGAGTAATAGAGTGATCTATGGAGTTTCCACCCTTTCTAACCTGCAGTGTCATTGATACCTACACTGTCTTTGCACAGAGGCTGATTTTCCCCTGTGTCTCCAGAATTAGTATCAAGGAAAGAGACTTAGTTTGGAAGAGAAGGGCATGTCCCTAATACATGATGATGAAAAATTGTGGCAATTCTTGTTTAACGTGAAATTAATTTGGCTTATTTCTTGGTCTGCATTTATTGTACATTGGGAAAATAAATTACACAAGACTTTCATTAAAACTGGGGCTTCCCCGGTGGCTCAGTTGGTAAAAAGTCCACCTGCAGTGCAGAAGATACAGGATACCTGGGTTCATTCCCTGGGTCAGGAAGATCTCCTGGAGAAGGGAATGGCTACCCACTCCAGTATTCTTGCCTGGAGAATTCCATGGACAGAGGAGCTGGGCAAGCTACAGTCCATGGGGTTGCAGAATTGGACACAACTGAGCAACTAACACTTCCACTAAAATTGGTATAGAATGGGACCAAGGCCTTGGCACAGCTACCAGCTCTGTCCCTACCAAGAGCTTCTGCTGTTGGTATATAAGAGTCTTACTGGCTAAACCTGCACAAGCCACTCATAAGAGGCTTCCAAAATTCTCTGCTGGCTGGAACGTGAGTCAAATGTGGGACTAGTGGGGTTGGTCTTATGAAAAACTTTATGTTAATAATTACAGAAAATGTGTTTCTTCCCCAGATTTCTTTTGGGAAAACATAAAGCTGCCATTGAAGTATATAATGAAGCAGCTAAACTTAATCAGAAAGACTGGGTAAGTAGGGAACTTCGTTCTTTGTTATTAGTAACATGCTGACGGTTTCATTTATCATATAGCTATCATTTGTATTTATTACTGAGTTATTACATGCCAAAACTGTCTTTATTTTATCCTCACACTTGATTGATGATTTGACCTAGGTATAAGATCAAAAATTAGGTTTCCTCATAACTCAGCAGACAGTGCTGCCAAGCTTTCTTGGTATAAGTGTTGTTGATGAGTAGTCTGTTACTAGTCTGATTCTTGTTGATAACCCCACTCTCCTGTCTAGAAGCTTTGAGGATTTTCTGTTTATTATTGGAGTTCTGAAATACCAGTAATAGTTGTCATGATGTGTTTCTTTTCTTTTGCATTCAGTTGGCTCTTTCACTTTGAAGACCCTTGCCTTTGGATAGAGAGGTGGTTTTTTTTTTTTTGAGTAATTCTTCGATTATTTTTTCCTCTCCATTGTCTGTATCATTTAGGGATTGTGTGTAACTGCAACAAAACATTAAACACTGACTTTACAAATTACCGTTTTATTTTTTTCTTACGTAACAAGAAGCCCAGGAAAGTAGTTACTGACATTGATTTGACAACAACACTGAGACTTTTTCTTCATGGCTACAAGATGGCTGCTACAGCTCTAACACCACATCATTATTCTAGAAGGGAGAAAGAGGAGGCAACAAAGAGAAAAAGACATAACCTTTGCGGAGAAAGTATAGCTTTCCCAGAAGTTCCCGACATACTTCCACGTACATTATATCGACTACCTGTTTTGTAAAGAAGAATGGGAAATACAGTTTTTAAGTTGACCACATTGTCACTCTAAATGTAATTAGGTTTTTGTTAGTAAGGTAATCAGAAAGAGTGAATATTAGGTAGATAACTAGGAGCTTTTGCCACACTGTTTTCTACTCTCTATTACACGTGTTCTGCATCTGTTCTCGTTGTCTTGTAACTTGCCTCTCATATTTTCCACATCCTTGTCTTTGCTGTACAGAGAGATTTCCTCAATCATATCTTCCAAGTCATCATTTTTGTTTTTAGCTATATTCATATTCAGTATTTTTTATTTTAGTAATTATATTTTTAATTTTCAAGAATTCTGTCTTTTCTTATGGTTGCCTCTTCATGTCTGTGACCCTTTGAAGTTCTCTTCTGCGTTCCACAATTATCTTTTCTTCCTCTCTTTATTTTGGTTCTTTTTTTTCATGCTGATGGTTTTTTCAAAATACCTGTGATTCTTAGAAAGATATACCTAAGAATGAAGGAGATTCTTAGATATATCAAACAGTGAAGGATTAGATTGATTAGTAGAAAGAGCTAGCATGGGTTTTGCCTGCAGTTCTTATGGCCCTGTTATTTTTTAGATGTGTTTGTCAGTCATTTTCTTCTGCAGATCTGAAGACTGAGATGTTTAAGTCTTTTTGCCATTGAGTATTTTATAGCCACAGGCCAAAGTAAAGCTGCAGATAAAGGAAAAGTGAGTTACTCTTTTGTTCATTTAGTCACTTTTTTCAACAAGTGAATGTCTGCTGTGTGCCAGGCACTGGGCTGCAGATGCAAAAGATGGATTGGTGGTTTATGGGACAATCAACCTGGAAATAAGGAAGGAAGGAGAGGCAAGTTAGGGGAGAGGGTGGTGATAACAAATTAGAATTAAATCGTATTTTCAGAAGATAATGGACATGATGAATTGTAGCTTCTGGTAGGATATCTAAATTGAGATGTATCCAATACATGGCTGTATATAGAAATCTGAAGCTCAAGTGTTCTGAGATGATACATGTTTTGGAGTCAACACAAAGGTGATGATTAAAACCATGAAATTGGATGAGATCACTCTGCAGTGAGCTGAGGATGGAATCCTGGAAAAAGCAGTTTGAAGGGCTGAGCTGAAGAGAAAATGAGCCCATAGAGGGAGACAGAGAGGAAGTGAGACAGGTGAGCTCAGGGACGGGATCGGGGAGAAAGGGAGAAGGTTTACCAGTCTGTCCAGTTGGTTGAAAGGGTTCATTTGGTATTACTCATCTGGGATAACAAGTCCATTGGTGCCAGTAGAGGTGGTCATTTCTCAAACATCCATTCTCTGCCCTGATGCTTCATGAGTGCCTGTGGCCTGTAGAAAACCTGTAGCTCCACTTTCTTGGACTCATCAGGGTATTCCACAGTCTAGCTGCAGCAGGAGAATAATAATTCCTCTTGCCATGATCTCATTGGAGCAGCTGTTAAGTAGGGAGGATTTCCTGTACTTTTAGATTAGGAAGCTGAGGCTTTTGGAGATGGAGTGACTTGCTGAAGGGCACACAGTGAGGTAATGGCAAAAATGGAGCCAGAATTCAGGTCTAGAATCCAGGATTCCTCACTTTAGGCCTGTAATTTTTCCACTGTATCAATTGCCCTTGCAGGATGTCTGTTGCATCCTCTCACCCCATGAAAAACAGAACTTAACTCTGAGTTGTTCTAGTTTTCTTTACAAATTCAAAAATTTCCTTGGCTGTCAGTTTGTTTAAGGCATATTGCTGCAGTTTTGCCAAGTAATAACTATGGCAAATATTTTCAAAAGGGTAGGGGCATTAGTTACCTTCCAGGACATTAAAGGACAAGTAGACTATATTTCTCCTCTCTCCAGCTCCGTGTGTACATTCTTAAAGGGTGATGAAGTGGAATGTACTTGTGGAGTTGGAAAGAGAATTACAGCCCTACTTTTAGAGACAGGCCTGGGTTCAAATCCCACTGCTTGGCAATATGTGGACATATTTTGGGTTGTGATTTAAGAAAAATTTCTTGTAATGTGAGTCATTTATCAGAAATTGGAACATGATTCAATATCAGATATTAAGCAGTAACTATTTTTTTTCCCCCAAGTATGATAATGGTATTGTGGGTAGATTTTTAAAAAGAGAGATCTTATCCTTTGGAAGTACATACAGAGGAACTTCCCTGGTGGCTCAGTGGTAAAGAGTCTGCCTGCCAATGCAGGAGACACAGGTTCAAGTCCTGGTCTGGGAAGATCCCACATGCTGAGAAGCAACTAAGCCCATGCACTGTAACTAGTGAGCCTGTGCTCTGGAACCTGGGAACCACAGCTACTGAGCCACGGGGGCCTGCGCGCCCCAGAGCCCGTGCTCCGTAACAGGAGGAGCCACCATAATGAGTAGACTGCAACAGAGAGGAGCCCTCACTCACCACAGCGAGAGAAAAGCAGGTGCAGGAGTGAAGCCCCAGCACAGCCCAAATAAATACATAAATAATGAAAATTAAAAAGAGGAATACATAACTGAAACATTTGTGGGTAAAATGTTATACTACCTGGTATTTGCTTACAGAAGTAGTGGGATGGATGCGGGGGTGTGGATTGGATGGTTGTTGGAGCAAGACAATGAGTACATGGTGATTCTTTACATATTATATATGTTGATACTCTTTTTTTTTTTTTTTTAAATAGTCCCTTCTTAGCAATCTGAGACCATTTCTTTCTTTTTTTTTTTTAACATTTATTATTTTGGCTGCACTGGGTCTTTGCTGCTGTGCTCAGGCTTTCTCTGGTTGCAGTGAGCAGGGGCCACTCTTGATTGTGTGTGCAGGTTTCTCATTGTGATGGCTTCTTGTTACAGAGCACAGATTCTAGGCATGCGGGCTCAGTAGCTGTGGCTCGGGAGGCTCTGGAGTGCAGTCGCAGTAGTTGTGGCACATGGCCTTAGTGGTACCAAGCATGTGGAATTTTTCTGGACCAGGGTTTGAACCAGTGTCCTCTGCATTGTCAGGCTGATTCTTAGCCACTGGACCACCAGGGAAATCCTTTTCTTTCTTTTTATCAGCTTTATTGATATATAATTCAAATACCATACAATTCACCTAGTAAAAGTATATGATTCATTGTTTTTTAATATATTTACAGAGTTGTGCAATGGTCATTACAGTCTTACTTTATTTTTATTGGAGTATAGTTTCTTTACAGTGTTGTGTTATTTTCTGATGTATAGCAAAGTGAATTAGCCATATGTATACATATATCCCTTCTTCCTTGAATTTCCTTCCCATTTAGGTTGCCAGATAGCATTGAGTAGGGTTACCTGTGCTATACAGTAGGTCCTCATTAGCTGTTTTTTATAGTAGTGTATAGATGTCATTTCCAATCCCCCAATTCATCCCTGCCCCCTCCCCTCCTTGGTAGCCATACATTTGTTTGGTATGTCTGTGTCTCTGTTTCTGCTTTGCAAATAAGTTCATCTGTGTCATCTTTCTAGATTTCACATATAAGTGATATTATACAGTATTTTTTTTTCTCTTTCTGACTTGCTTTACTCTGAATGACTATCTTTAGGTTCATCCAAGTCTCTGCAGATGGCACATTTTCATTTTTTTATGGCTGAGTAATATTCTACTGTATATATGACCATGTCTTCTTTATCTATTTCTCTGTTGATGGACATTTAGGTTGCTTCCATGTTCTTGAAATTCTTTAAGATTTAAAACTAAGAAAAAAGAAAAATCCCTGTGCTGATGCTTTCTGTATTAAGCAAACTGCTTAACTTCTCTGAGCTTCAATTTCCTTATTCCTAAAATCAGAATTGTTATACTTATGTTTCAGATTTGCTAGGAAAACTAAAGTAATATATGTGAAAAACATCTGGCATAGGATCACTGATTGCAATTTTGTTGTTATTTTAGGCAACTTGGAAAACATTAAACAGTTGTCTCTAAGCCCTTGAAGGTTCATATTTCTTCAGAGAGGGACACTCCTGGGTCTGCATGTGCTTCTGCACTTCCTCACTTACTGTTTCCCAGGAGCAGTTTCCTCACCCTTGCCTTTTCCTTTCTTTAAAACTGCGTTAAAAAAAGATTTAATATAATGGAGTTAAAGAGATTATATAGAACACAAGGTCAGGAAATACAGATTGGTCTTGCAGTGAACTAGAACTGGAAAGCCGTCAGCAACCAAGTTAGCTTCTCTGCATTTCTGCTGTTTTTTTCTTTCTGTAGATCAGAGGTTGGCTTTTTTTTTTGGGGGGGGGGAGGGTTGAAGGTCAGGTTAGTGTATATTTTAAGCTTTGCAGCTTTATACAGTCTTTGTTGCAATTACTTAACTCTGAAGTTCTATGAAAGAACCATAGAGGATACATAACAAGTGGTTGTGACTGTGTTCTAATACAACTTTATTTACAGAAAGGGGCAGAGGTTGAATTTGTCCCATTGGTTGTAGTTTGCTGACCTGTGCTGCAGACTTCTGCAGATAGGCCCCAATTACATATCCAATTACATATCTGTAATTGGAGCCAGTCTGCAGAAGCCTGCAGCACAGGACCATGCAGGAAACCTGGATTTGATCCTTGGGTAGGGAAGTTCCCCTGGAGAAGGGAATGGCTACCTACTCTAGTATTCTTGCCTGGAGAACCCCCTGAACAGAGGAGCCTGGTGGGCTACTGTCTGTGGGGTCACAAAGAGTCATACAGGACTGAGTTACTAACACTTTCACTTTTCACATATCTGTACTCCATCGTAGTGGCCTCCAGATGGCACTGTCAGCCTCCAAGTCCATATCACCTAGTGCTTGAATTCCTAGATTCCTGTTGAAAAGAAGTCTGATACCCACACCCACACCCCTCCTTAGAGCTGGAGAAGGAACTGTGGTAGTTTCTTCTGAGAAGAGGGCATAAACAGTTTGTTCCGTGAGCAGCTCTAAGAGAAAAAAAGGTATAGGAATGGGCTGGGTATGCACCCAAAGGTACTACATAGGCCCAGGAAGATCACCAGTTTATTCTGCTTTTATCTCTTATAATCTGAATAAGATTCAGGTAAAAAACTAACCATAGTGCATGTTTTCAAGCTTAAATATTATCAAGCAACAATAATCTCTAGATGCCTGTTTACACTCTAATAATTACTGTGGAATTTACACTTGTTTTCTTTTCTTTTGTGTGTAGGAAATCTGTCATAACCTAGGAGTTTGCTACATTTATCTGAAACAGTTTGACAAGGTAATATGTAGAAATGGTGGTGGTGGTGGGTGAGCAGTTGTCTAGGGATTTCACTGAGGGTACAATTTTTACACAGGTCCCATGGATCATTTTGTATTATTCCTACTGCTTGCAGAGACTTTTAGAAGTAAAAAATGAAAGTTCCATATAAGTTTACTCACATTTTTATTCTCATTTGTCACATTTCATCTGATTTTTTCGCCCTGCTTTTAACAAGAAAGTGACAAATTCTAGAAACAGAGGAAATGGCAATCTCATTTCTTTCTTCCTCTCTTATTTTCCACACCTTAGTTTAATTTTCCAGAATAGAAACACAAATGTTTAATAAAATTTAAATATAAAAAGGTGGATCTGTAAGTCTTAAAAGTGTAATTATGGCCAAGTGAGCTATCTTATATTTCAGTTTTCAGGTCATTGGAAATGAATTTTTAATCTGAAGTAGTTTGACGTGAGAGTTTCCATTTTTAAGGTTATTTTCCATGTGAGATTATTATATTTCATTGTGATTAGGCTGTAGTGCCCAAGACTCTTACGATCAGATAAAACTTTTGAGCTTACTCTGGTACTCAGATAAAGGGGAAAAATGTATATATCTTAACTGAAGGGTAGACCAAATTATTGAGAACTCTAAAAGTTAATGACAGTGGGGTTGGTCAGTTTCCTTCATAATGCTCCCACTTAGTGACTGAAGTTTTATCTTCTTTTCTCCAGTGCTGACAGGACTGAGAACCTGAATTAGTTGATACTCATTTGATAATATTTAATATGTACCAGTTCATAAACTGAAACAATCTAATCAATCCCTCAGGGTTCAAAAAAAAAAAACAACTGTACATCAGCATTTGAAGTGTGAGAATAACTTTTGCTCTTCTGAGATATATAAAAATAAATAATACCTGTATCTGTGCAAATACAATCTACATATTTAGTCGATATTTAGTCGATTAGGTTTTCTGGGCAGATCTGACTGTTCAGTGTTATATACTTGGTTAGGAGGTTTTTCTCTTCAGAGAAATTTTAAGCAAGTACATATCTATTCATGGGATTATTCTGAGCCAAGAGAGAGCTGGATTTGGTTTTTGGTCAGACCTGAACTGAGGAGGAAAATTATATTTAGATTTTACTGTAAAGCTAACAGGCTAAGCAAATACAGTAGCTGGCATTTTATATAAATACTTGTTGAATCAGTGAAGGACTAAACAGCCTTTATCATCGTCTACAAGATAAGCTCTAACAGAGGAAGGAGTCTTCTCTGTTAGCTTTGGTATACTAGTACCTAGAGCAATAGGCACTTGATGATACCTACTGAATGAATAAATGAATATTCATTCATTCATTTATCCAAATATTGGTGAGGAAAATGAGGTCCCCCATGGAGAAGGGTGTGCAGTTGGTCAGTGGTGCAGCTGGGGTCAAGTTTGGGGCAGTACTCTCTAAGTACCATGATATCCCGCTTGACATATGGAATATGAGTCATGGAATGGATATCAAATAGCAGAAAATACTCAAAAAGGTTAATTCTCTTGTAGAAGCCCCCCAAGTGGCACTAGAGGCAGACATTTCATGTTTCCAGCTGTCCTATGAGAGCACAGTTTGGGTACGTTTTAGTTTTTTGGGTGATGGGACATTTGCTGAAATGTGATGTTCCTAACTTGAGTACAGCAGGAGCTCTTTCTTTACATTAGCCGTACAGAGTCATTGTCCTTTCTGGTTGTGATTTGGTTCTCTGTACTCTTGTCAATCTTGTTAGGCACAAGACCAGTTGCTCAGTGCCCTACATCTTAACAGACATGATCTGACTTACATAATGCTGGGCAAGATCTTCTTGCTGAAGGGAGACTTGGACAAGGCCATCGAAATCTACAAGAAAGCAGTGGAGTAAGTGTGTTGGTTCCTTTAGAGCAACGAGAAACTAAAACAAAAATGGGAGCAGACGTGATCTCTCATGCCTGAGAGAGGACATGTGTGACTGGTTACACATTGTATGAGTTCTGTGAGTTAGAGTAAGTGTTAAGCTCAAGTTTAGAGCTCCCGGTGGCTTAAATAAGGATGACTTGTTTCTTTCTCACCTGTCAGTCTGGATGGTCCTGGGCAGCTCTCTGCTCCACAAGGTCAGTCAGGGATCCAGGTTCCTCCCATGTTAAGCCATCATTCCATAAGTTGTTGCCTAGCCCCTGTTGATAATGGAACTGACTGGCTTTCCAGTATGGTATTGTTTCTCCTTTCTAGGAAATCTTATCTTTTCTGCCTAGATCTTGTCTGGTTTAAGTGGGATAGCTGTAACAAAATGGCTTTGTCTCATTTGTTTGGTCACTTGATAGAATACGTCCTCTGGTTCAAGGCAACAAAGTCTGTTATTCCTGATAACAAGACTTTGGACTAAACTTAGACTTTGGACTAAGTGAAATTACGCTTGTCTTCTACCATGATAGTAACTTCTCTAGTTAACATTAGTCACAACAACATTGCTTCTGGAATTTTTTTCATATTTTATATCTAGAAAGACATAAAAAATCCTTTGATTTGTTAGGCTGCAAGAAAGACTTCTGTCATCAAGAGGCTACATTTACAGGGACAAGTAGGTAGGCCATATGTTAAATCTTTGTTGTGCTGAGTGGAAGCCTTGACCCCTGACCCCTGCATTCAAGAAATTTGAGCTTAGCTTACATTAATTACATTAGCTTACACATTCTTCCATGGAACAACAGACTGGTTCCAAATAGGAAAAGGAGTACGTCAAGGCTGTATATTGTCACCTTGCTTATGTAACTTACATGCAGAGTACATCATGAGAAACGCTGGGCTGGAAGAAGCACAAGCTGGAATCAAGATTGCCAGGAGAAATATCAATAACCTCAGATATGCAGATGACACCACCCTTATGGCAGAAAGTGAAGAGGAACTAAAAAGCCTCTTGATGAAAGTGAAAGAGGAGAGTGAAAAAGTTGGCTTAAAGCTTAACATTCAGAAAACTAAGATCATGGCATCTGGTCCTCATGGGAAGTAGATGGGGAGAGAGTGGAAACAGTGTCAGACTTTAATTTTTTGGGTTCCAAAATCACTGCAGATGGTGACTGCAGCCATGAAATTAAGACGCTTACTCCTTGGAAGGGAAGTTATGATCAACCTAGATAGCATATTAAAAAGCAGAGACATTACTTTGCCAACAAAGGTCCGTCTAGTCAAGGCTATGGTTTTTCCAGTGGTCATGTCTGGATGTGACAGTTGGACTGTGAAGAAAGCTGAGTGCTGAAAAATTGATGCTTTTGAACTATGGTGTTGGAGAAGACTCTTGAGAGTCCCTTGGACTGCAAGGAGAGCCAACCAGTCCATCGTAAAGGAGATCAGTCCTGGGTGTTCATTGGAAGGACTGATGCTGAAGCTGAAACTCCAATACTTTGGCCACCTCATGCGAAGAGTTGACTTGTTGGAAAAGACCCTGATGTTGGGACCGATTGGGGGCAGAAGGAGAAGGGGATGACAGAGGATGAGATGGCTGGATGGCATCACCAACTCAATGGGCATGAGTTTTGAGTAAACTCCTGGGGTTTGTGATGGACAGGGAGACCTGGCGTGCTGCGATTTATGGGGTTGTAAAGAGTCGGACACGACTGAGCGACTGAACTGACACATTCTTAACTGTGTCTGGCTAAGGATTTAAGTCACTGAAATCCTCATATGAAAATTTGGAGGACAGCTGAGCATTTGAAGCCTTACTGAGATGGTAGAAACCATTGTTTATGGCCCACAGCTTCAGAGTAGTCATGTTTTGGTAGGGGGAAGGGTGCCACTAGAATCATGGAAATTACCTATTTGGTTGAAGAGAGGAAGGTGATCAGAATGGGAATTTATGGCAGAAAATGAAGAGCAAATACTTAGTTGAACTGAGTAAGCTCTGTCTGGCCAGCTCAGGCCTCCCCGGGCAGGGGCTTTGCCCCTGTGACTCTGGTCTCCCCATTAGTAACCTGCACCCTACCTCATTCCTTAGAAGGAGGAGATGTTCTTCACCTTTTGCCATTTTCACTGTTGAAACTGTCTAATGATCCTGTAGTCAGATCATCTCAGCTTAGTGTTGCTTTTGTTTTGTGACAAAGACATGCCAGTGAGGGATTGGAAAGGCAGACAGTCTTTTACTTAAGCCAGTGTTAAACTCCACAAAGCCAATGGCCAATTCTTTCCTAGAGCTGGTATATGTCTTTCTTCTTTAGTTTGTCTGTTTAGTGTAACTTTTTTGTTTAATGTGGAGAGCAGGGCTTCAGGGGCCTTGGGATCCTAAATTACCCAGGAAATAATTACGCTGGCTGGCATTGTGAATACAGTGAAAACAACAAAAATCTCACAAGAGGGAAGTAGCTAAAATCGTGTGTGTTCTAGACTGACTTGGTTTATAGGGCATTATTCTTGAATTCTATTAGTGTAATTAAGACAGTGGCACAAAATATTCCATAGGTTCTGAGGACTCTGGCTGTAAGAAAAGGTCCTGAGAAAGGAGTCTGGGTTCTAAGTCCCATTTCTGTCTTGTTGAGCAGTCCTCCCTATAGCCAGCCGGGTTGACGTACTCTTGAAGGAAATTCCCAAATCCCTTTGAGAGTTCTTACGGGGAGTGGGAGGTGCAGTTACTACGTGTGTTTCTCAGTATTGCTCATACACATCTTGTTTCCCTCTGAGCATCTCTTGTGTTGTAGGTTCTCACCAGAAAATACAGAACTTCTTACAACTTTAGGATTACTGTACCTACAGGTAAGAGGACTTTGCTTATCCATGCATTGATGTTAGAAATGCTTTTGGGGACTCCTCCCCAGTGGTCCAGTGGTTAGGATTCCTTGCTTTTACTGCAGGTTCACAGGTTCAATCCGTAGTCAGGGAACTAAGATCTTGCAAGCCACACAGCCAAAAAAGGAAAAAACACTTTTGGGTTTGTGTGTTGTGATTCCTGCATTTTTACTTTAACACAATTTACTAAAGGTCATAAGAAGCACATAAATTTTACTCTGTACTTGATACCCTTTGTCTGCTGAAGGAATGAACTTAATTTTCAGCATGCAAATCAGAAGCAAATACACCTGTTTGAGCCTAGTCTTACCCAACCATAAAAAGAACATATATGAGAAACAACTTGTGGTCAGGGAGACTGGCGTTTTGTGGTTGAAGTACAGTGGTGGTATTAGGGCTTTGGGGCAAAGGCCATTTCTATTGTTCCTTCTTCCCAGCCAGGTTAGGGTTAGAGAAGGCCAAGCATTGTCTAGAATAAAAATCCTGCCTCCAGCTCTGCCTCTGTGGTGTCCTTGTTTGTTTCCTTTTTCTCTAAGGAGCTTAACCCTGGGCCTTCCTGGGCTTTGGCTTGGGAGGTTGGTCCCAGGGAAGAGGAGGCTCACCAGCCTGTTTCCTGCCAGGAGTCCTTAGTCTGTGACCGCACCAGTGTGGCAGAGATGGTTCCTGGCAGAGAGCTACTTTGACCTTATTAGGGACAAGTCAGTGAAGTAGGAGGGAAAAGAAATGTGGGGCCCTTAGTTTTCTAAGAATTTGGTATCTGTAGCTTTTTTCAGAAGAGCCCAGAAAAGTCAGGGTGTATCTGTTGAGGGTGTGGTTGGCCAATCTCCCTAATGCTATCTCCCCCGATGTAATTCTCTGGTTTGCTTTTTTCCAAGCTCGGCATTTACCAGAAGGCATTTGAACATCTTGGAAACACATTGACTTATGACCCTACCAACCACAAGGTATTGTTAGCTGTCAAACCCCAGAGCCTTCACACACAGGTGGTCCCACTGCTCCTAGAGGTGATCTAGCCCTAGAATGCATTTCAGATAGCCAAGAAAGTACTTTTTTCTTAGAAAAGTATTAAGTAAATGTGGTTCTTATTTGAAAATATTATGAATTGTCAGTGCTTTGCTTCTTATCTTCTAAAAGAGCACATTTGTCATAATGGGCCTATAATTTATACAGACAGCAGAACTGCAGTGGTGGTGAAGCTGTATGTGTTACTTAGGAAATTAGAGCCTCCACACGCTGAAATGACCTTCAGATTCCTCATGAACCGGAGACTACAACTCTTGTCCAGTTATGACTTTGGGGATGAGAAGATCATTATGTGGATAAGTCATTGAGGGAGATGCAGCAAAACAGGCTTGTTGTTAAGGGTACAGACTCAGTCCTTTCTTGGAAGTCCTATTAGCCTGACTGAGAGACATGGAAAGCTGGACTGAGGAAGCCTAAAGCTGACTCACCATCTGTCCTGTGGCAGGAACTGCATCTTTAGAGGCCAGCGACAGGTGCACTTAAGTCGTCTAGAGCACTTGGCGTGTACCAAGCAGGGGCTGCGGGTTAAAGGTGGTTTTTACTTAAAGGGCCCTGATACTCTAAGGTAGTGACTTCCCTGGCTACAAGTAGGAAACAAAAGAGCTAGGTAAAGTCAGAGACTTTTCTTTATTACAGCAAAGAGCCACAGTGTGGGGCGTGAGAGTGTTCCTCTTGAGCGTTTGTTCCAGTAGCGGTGGATGTATAGGTCCCTGGAAGATGCTTTTCAATCCCACCAGTGTTGATGGGCCTACTAAGAGTCTAGACTCAGGAAGGCTACTTCACTCCGACAGCCTTTTGAGAATGACTAAATTATGAACTTTCCATGTTTTCAGGCCATCTTGGCAGCAGGCAGCATGATGCAGACCCACGGGGACTTTGATGTTGCCCTCACCAAATACAAAGTTGCAGCGTGTGGTGTTACAGAAAGCCCTCCACTCTGGAATAACATTGCAATGTGCTTCTTTGGCAAGAAGAAATATGTGGCAGTGAGTGTCTCCTCCTCTTCCTGGTTTGTGTTTATAGTTACTGGGTCTGCTGAGCTCGCCCCAGCCACTCACCGAGTGCCCCCTCACTCCTCCAGGCCATCAGCTGCCTGAAACGAGCCAACTACCTGGCACCTTTAGAGTGGAAGATTCTCTATAATTTGGGCCTTGTCCACTTGACTATGCAGCAGTATGCATCCGCTTTCCATTTCCTCAGTGCAGCCATCAACTTCCAGCCGAAGATGGGGGAGCTCTACATGCTTTTGGCTGGTAAGAGACATTTCTGTGGAGCAGCCCTCTGCAGTCTGTAATGAGGGAGAACTGAATTAGAATCATGGCAGGCCAGTAGTTAAATATCCCACAGAAGCCATTCCCTTGCAGATCCCTTAGGTGTCTGGATGACACTTGCAGTCTGAAGAAATATGAAGCAGAAAGATGACAGAGCACCTGGTTGCTTCTCACTTAGGGGAATTTCACTCAGAGGCCAGCAGGTTAAATAAGGTTCATATGTAGTTCATTTTTTAACAGTGGTATTCCCTTGGCTTGACAGTTCATATATTGAGTCCAACTGTGTTCTTGGTTATCAAGTGTTAAGATCGTGGGCTTTAGGTATCATGTGTTAAGATCCTGCCTTTAGTACTTACTATTAATAGCTGTACCTCATACAGTTGATGAGAGGATTACATGATTAGAAAATCAGTGAATGTTAACTTGGTTTTGCTGTGATTATATAATTAGTCTTTTATTGTTGTTAGTGTAATACAAAACTACTGATGATTCTTTCTGGGGAATATTTCTCCTTACACAAAATTTACTACATGTTTAAAAGCAGTTTCCATGTTCTCACTGACAGTCTTCAGGTTTTTTTTTTTTGTCATTACTGTGGGGTTCTATATAAGTAAATCGAGTGGTGATTATTTGGGGGCTGTCTGAATACAAAGATAGCCCAGTCATAAAGGGATACAGGGTTGTAAGTAAATCACTGTAGGGCATAAGCAGCAATTCTGTAACAGAGTAGAGATGGTTTTCACACTGAGTTTTGAAAAATAAACTGCAGTTCAGTGGCATAGAATGGCTGAGAAGCCCCTGAGGAAAGGCATGCAGCCGTGAAACTGCAGGCTGCACCCGTAGCAGGTAGTGGTAATAGTGTGGTAGATAGAGCATAGTGGGAGCTAAGTCAGGAGAGGTGGTCTGGGGTCAGTTTGGAGGGCTGTGAGTGCAGAGGTTGTTTCCCAACTGTATCCCTGGACCTCCTCTAGTGTCTGGAGGAAGTAGATGAATGGTTGTGGGCGAAGTGGAGTGGGCATGGCTTCCAGAGCAGCTCTGTTATTGTCTGGTTTATAGATCAAGCTCCCAGAAAATACTGATTAAAAAAGGGAGAGTGTTCTGTTGCTTTAAAAAAAAAAGTTTAAAGATCATAGTTATAAGTGCTGGAGAACAGTGGGGATTCTTGAGTAGGACAGTGCGCGGTCAGATCTGCTAGCGAGATCCTGGCAGCACTGTGGCAAGTAGATGGAGGCAGGTGGACAGCGTCCCCGGGGACAGAATGGGAAACGTGACACGCCTAAGGCCAGGGCAGTGTCACTAAGAAGCTAAAAAAAGGAATTCATGGAACCTGACTATGGATTAACTGGAGAGGGGACTGTTGAAGATGACACTAGGAATCCAAGCTGAGTGACTAAGTAGATGGTGGCGCTAGGAGCTGAGAGGGTGCAGTAAGAGTTACATGTGTAACATTTCCTGTGTTTTCATGCCGGCCTCTTCAGCCATAGCATTCACTCTCTCTGTTGCAGTGGCTCTGACCAATCTGGAGGATACGGAGAATGCCAAGAGAGCCTATGAAGAAGCAGTCCGCCTCGATAAGTATGCTGCCCTGCTGAGGATGGTGTCGGGGGGCTAGATTCTGCAAAGCCGTGAGGTGGCGCCAGGGCCCCAGTGTTGCCTGAGTCAGCCCAGGTGCTTGCTCTCCACATGCCTCTGTGCACAGCAGGTCTGTGTGTGGAAGGACGTGGCTCCTGAGCACAAGCACTCCGTGCTTCAGTAGGACCTGGCACTGGCCCTGAGAGACCTTGCTGTGGAATGGAGATCTATTAAGCTGGTTTTGTTTCTGTATGATAAGGATCTATCTCTGAATGACCATTGGTTGCAAAGCCCCAGCTTCATAGAGTCCCTGTCTGTCTGTGCAGGTGTAACCCTTTAGTGAACCTGAACTATGCTGTGCTGCTGTATAACCAGGGCGAGAAGAGGGATGCCCTGGCCCAGTACCAGGAGATGGAGAAGAAAGTCAACCTACTCAAGTATAGTAGCTCTCTGGAATTTGATCCGGAGGTAAGTCTTAAATCCAGGAGTCATTAAGCAAGCTGTCAGGAGACTTTTAAATCAAGCCCAAATAATCTAGATACAATGTATGTTTATGCCTGTTTTGGCTTTGATGTTCCAAGCAGCATGAATTCTTCAATTAAGGCCAGCTTGAGAAAAAACTTTCCTGAAAGAAAATAGTAAGAGGAAATTTAAGCTTACTGTGTTTTATCTATTATTGGTAATACAACTCATTTGAGTTGAGATCTGTGTCTCTTTGTAGCTTCCTCCCACTTCTCCTCACATAGAAAAGGCAGGGTGTTCTCTGCTGTTTAAGAATCATTTCTTTGCAATCAGTACTTCCTCCCTCAAACGGTAGCAGAGACTATGTCATCTAACCTCGCCTGCCTGCTAAAGGCCTAGGATGAGGCCTGTCTCTGCTTGTCATACCTGTGACTTTTTTTTTCTTCCTCCCCACATGGACACAAGATGGTGGAGGTCGCCCAGAAGCTGGGAGCTGCTCTACAGGTCGGGGAGGCACTGGTCTGGACTAAACCAGTTAAAGATCCCAAATCAAAGCACCAGACTGCTTCAACCAGTAAAGCCGCCTGTTTCCAGCAGCCTCTGGGCTCTAATCAAGCTCTAGGACAGGCAATGTCTTCAGCAGCCACATACGGGAAGCTCCCCTCAGGTAGGAAGCTACACACAGCTGTGGAGACCTATAGGAACAGCCACGTGTGCCTGCAAAGAGAGTACAGCTCTGAGTGAGGCTTGTGCTTTTCAGACTCATAACAAGTCCAGTGTAATGCTGCCTAGAAGGGGGAAAAAAGCCCAAGGGTGTCCAAACTGTCACTTGTTTTCTTTTTTTAAATTTTTTTTCTTTTTTTCCCCAATTTTATTAGTTGGAGGCTAATTACTTTACAATATTGTAGTGGTTTTTGCCATACATTGACATGAATCAGCCATGGATTTGCCTGTTTTCTTAAGGCCATTTGTGTAAAACTTCCCAGCTATTGGCAGGCTTAGTTGGATGGTCAAGACACTGGGTGTTCACGATCTGCAGGTTTAGAGATCCATTATGGTACCCTTTGTTATGGAGTCTCAGTTTAATTTTCACTGCCTTATCACAAGTCAGCATGGCACAGGTAATGAATGATTTCTTTTAATAAGGTCACTGAAGGCCCACCTGACTGACTTTATCCAGTTACGGTCTTCCTTCACAGCTGCACAGATATGCCACAGTCCTACTAATCCCAGAAAATAAACTTCGAGAAGAAAAATCGTAACTGCATTTTGATTTGTTCTGGAACCAGGGCACTGAGAATTCAAGCTGTTTGTTTTGTTACTAGGTGCTGGAGGAACATCCCAGCTCACAAAGCCACCATCCCTTCCTCTGGAGCCAGAGCCCACTATGGAAGCACAACCCACGGAAGCATCAGCACAAACCAGAGAAAAGTAGGTGTAGGATGACCCCGGAGCTGGGCTTTCTTTGGCGAGGACCTACCAGATTAGGAAAGGTCCCATGACACAGGCAGCACGTACAAGAACGTGTGATGATGATCACCAGGATGCTGAAGCCTTCACAGCCCCTGGCTGCCCCATGAGCTAGGAAAGAGGAGATGGCTCAGATGAGTTCTCAAGAACTGAGAGCAAGGCTTTGGCTCTGTATGTGGTGCCAAGAGCCAGCAGGGCCCGTGACACTGTTTGCTGTGGAAAGGATTTACCTCCCGCCGACTGAGCCCTTTGTGGAAGAAAGTCTGAGACAGACCTCTGCTGGCATGACAGAGCCTTGGCTTAGCTGAGGTGATCCTTGGGCTGTGTGGTAGGTATATTGGCCACCAAGGGAAACACAAATCTTGAATTAATAATCCAGTTCTAATAGTAGAAATTAGAAGATAAAAAAAAAAAAAAAAGCTCTTTAAACTGTGGCCCAGTCTATTGAGTATCTCAGCTGCACTTGCCCAGAAGAATCCAGAAAAAGCCCCTATAGCTTGTTCTTGAGCGAGGTCAGAGTGCAGAGCCAGATCATGTCAGTATGAAAAGAGATAAAGGGCTGATCTGGTATCAGCACCAAGGACTGGGGAAAAAAAAAAGGAGGAGCTTCTTAAAACCTCCTCAGTTAAGACATTCAGTGATACCACTGACCAGATGCTAGCAATACATTATATCCTTTTCAGAATAAAGATTATGTATCATCCCTTTGGGAAAAGTTGCTATTAATGTATAAGGGATCACAATAAAATGTTTCTGAAAGAACCTTGTATCTGCCCAGTCTTGGGACTTCTGGATTTCTAGTTTCTCTGTTAAGAAAGGAGCTATTCTGATTTCTAGTATGGTTGTTACTCATGTCATCACAATTAGAAAAATGAGGCTACATACACAATCACAGATACAGACATGGTTTTAGATGGCTCAGATTAGAGGCAAGAAAGAACTAGCAATGGGAAAAGTGCCCTTCTTACTGAATAATGTTAATACAAAACAAAGTAGAATTCTGGAGTGTGTGATTATAATGATTGACTGATAGTAGAGTGGCTCACAATGGACCAGTCCTCCCACAGACAACAAATAGTAACCAGTAGGTAAATATAAAATACTTCCTTGATTTAATTTTTAAAAAATACATAACTGTTCCAAGTACAAATTATGACATTATATATGAGGCTTAACATATATAACTATAAAGATTTTCATATTTTACTAATTTTAAATAGTTTGTAAAAAGTTAACACTGTATATATTACAATCTTTAGAGCAGCCATTTGACAGAAGCATAGCTCAAAAGACAGTAGAGAAGGGGGAAAAAAATGGAACAAAGAGAAAACAAATGGCAAACTATAAATCCAGTCATATCAATAAAATGTAACTAGACTTAAAAATGTAACTGGGCTAAACAGTTAAAAAGCAGAGAATGATAAAAAACCTTGTACTATATTAATGTTAGACAAAGTAGAGCTCAAAGTCAGGGGTGTTACCAGAAATAGGGGCATTTCATAATGATATCAGTAGAAAAACAATCATAAACATGTATGTACCTAACGTTACTTCACAATACATTAAGTAAAAGTTGACAGAATTAAATCCATATACTTGCCTATGTTAGCAATTTTTCTTTTAGCATTTGATAGACAAAAAGTGTAAAAGAATATATTGGCCAGCTTGACCTAAATAACAACTACAAGTAGTAACTACAGAAAATACATTCTTTGCAAGTAGACACAGTACATTTAGCAAGACAGACCAAATGCTGGGCCATAAGTCTCAAAAGTCAATAGACTGAAATTTACAGAATATGTTCTCAATACCTAGTGTAATTATATTAGAAATTAAAAGGAAGATATCTATTACAGAAAAACAACATATTTGGAAATTAAACATATGCTTGGAATAACTCATAAGGAAGAAATCAAACAGAAACTAGAAAATAGTTTGAATAATGAAAACAAAATTTGCAGGGTTCAGCTAGGAACTATGCTTATAAGGAAACTTACAGCTGTAAATGTTTCTATTGTAGCAAATGAAATTGTTGATAAAGGTTTCTACCTTAAGCTAAAAACACAGCAAAATAAACCCCACATTTCAGGAATTATTAAAGAAAAATCTAAAAAGGCAAAAGTTTTACAAAAAAATGCATATGGCAGAAAGTTGACAAATCCCTAGCTAAACTGATAAAAAAGAGACAAATTACCAATATCAAGAATGGAAGAAGGGATAGCATTATAAAGAGACTACAAGACATAAAAAAGAGAAAGGAATGTTAGAAGGAATTTTATGATAATAAAACTGGCAACTTGGATGGAACAGACCAAAACTGAAACAAGATGAAATGTAAAGCCTTGAGGCCTATCAAAGAAATTGAATCTATAAATCAAAAGCTACCCTTTAAAGCAAACTCCTGGCTCAGATTTCACCAGTGGATTCTATTAAATCCAATCTTAAAAAATTTTTAGAAGACAGAACTTTCCATTATGCCATGAAGAAAACAAAAATCTACAGCTTGAGAATATATTCTAGAAGAATAGATTCACAAAATACATCTGACAAAGGACTTGTATCCAGAAAATATTTTTAAAAAACTCAGTGATGAAAACTATTGGGTTGGTGTAAAAGTTCGAGTTTTCCTGTAGGATGTGGCCAACCCAAGAATAACCCAAACAACAATATACACAACCCAACTGAAAAAAAAAAGTAGGTAAAAAATTTGGATACCTCACAAAGGTATATGGCCATATTATACCGGCCACATTTGAATGGCCAGTAAGCACGTGAAAACGTGCCCACTGTTTATCATCAGGGAAATGCAAAGTAAAACCACAATGAAGTACCACTAGGGACACGTCAGGTACACATCAAAATGGCTAAAATTAAACACAACTCAAAATGTTGGCAAGAACAAGAAGCAAACAGAATTGTCATCAATCATTGGTGGGAGTGTAAAATGGTCCATCCACTTTGGAGAAAGGTCTGTACCCATCCCATGATATTATATCCATCTCGGCAATTCTACTCCAATGGAGGAGAATTTTTACTCAAAAGTAAAAATGATTTTTACCCAAGAGAAAGAAAAATGTCCACACAGACTTGATAACACTCATAAAAGCTCCAAATGGAAACACTGTATTCACAATACTATTTAGTCATAAAAAGCAACAAACTACATACAACATAATCTCAAAAACATGCTGCATGAGAAGAGCTTTATACAGCTATGGTAATTAAAATTGTATGGTACTGACACAAAAATAGAAATCTAGATCAATGGAATAGGATAGAAAGCAAAGAAATAAACCCATGCACTTATGGCCAATTAATCAACAGAGGAGGCAAGAATATACAATGGAGACAGAAGTCTCTTCAAATGGTGCAGAGAAAACTGGACAGCTACATGTGAAAGGGTAAAAAGTTTCTCTAACATGGTTATACAAAAATAAAACTCAAAATGGACTACAGACCCATATATAAGACTGAATAAAATTTCTAGAGGAAAACATAAGCAGAACACTCTTTGACATAAATTGCAGCAAGACCTTTTTAGATCTATCTCTAAAATAATGGAAATAAAAATAAATGAGCCCTAATTAAACTTCATGGCTTTTGCACAGCAAAGGAAACCATAAAAAGACAAATAATGGGAGAAGTCTTTGCAGACAATGTGACCAACAGGGATTAATTTCCGGAATATACCAACAGCTCTATATTAAAAAAAAAAAAAAAGGCAGAAGACCTAAATGGACATTTCTCCAAAGAAGATGAACAGATGGCCAAAAGGCACATGAAAAGATTCTCAACATCACTAATTAAGAGAAATGCAAATCAAAACTAAAATGAGGTATCAACTCACACCAGTCAGAATGGTATAATGTCAAAAAGTCTACAAATAACAAATGCTGGTAAGGATGTGGAGAAAAAGGAACCCTTCTACACTGTTAGTGGGAATGCAAATTGGTGGAGCCACTATGGAGACCTGTATGGAGGTTCCTTTTCATGCTGTTCACGGGGTTCTCAAGGCAAGAATACTGCAGTGGTTTGCCATTCCCCTCCTCCAGGGGACCACATTTTGTCAGAACTCTCCACCATGACCTGTCCATCTTGGGTGGCTCCACATGGCATGGCTTATAGTTTCATTGAGTTAGACAAGGCTGTGGTCCCTGTGATCAGATTGGTTAGTTTTCTATGATTGTGGTTTTCAGTCTGTCTGCCCTCTGATGGAGAAGGATAAGAGGCTTATGGACACTTCCTGATGGGAGAGACTGAGGGGAAAGTGGGTGTTGTTCTGATGGGCGGGGCCATGCTCAGTAAATCTTTAATCCAATTTTCTGTTGATGGGTGGGGCTATGTTCCCTCCCTGTTATTTACCTGGGGCCAAACTATGGTGGAGGTAATGAAGATAATGGCAACCTCCTTCAAAAGGTCCCATGCAGACTGCTTCACTCACTGCCCCCAATCTTGCAGTAGGCCACCGCTGACCCACGCCTCCACCAGAGACTCCTGGACACTCATGGGCAAGTCTGGGTCAGTCTCTTGTGGGGTCACTGCTCCTTTCTCCTGGATCCTGGTGCACACAAGGTTCTGTTTGTGCCCTCCAAGAGTCTGTTTCCCCAGTCCTGTCTAAGTTCTGGTGGCTTTGTGGTGGAGTTAATGGCATATTAACCCCACCTTATGGCATACCCAGGTCTGCTGCACCCACAGCCCCTGCAGCAGTCCACTACTGACTTGTACCTCTGCAGGAGACACTCAAAACACAGTTCTGTCTCAGTCTCTGTGGGGTCTCTGGGTCCTGGTGTGCACAAGGTTTGTTTGAACTCCCTGAGTCTCTGGCAGGTATGGGGTTTGATTCTAAACACGATTTCACCCCTCTTACCATCTTGCTGTGAAAAGAAGAGAAGCAAAAGCTAAAAGAGAAAAGGAAAGATATACCTATTTGAATGCAGGTTCCAGAGAACAGCAAGGAGAGATAAG